TTTTTTTTTTTTTTTTTTTTTTTTTTTTTTTTTTTTTGTTTTGGGGGGGGGGGGGGGGGGGGGTGGTTTGCTTAATGTGCCTTATCCGGTGTGCCTTATGTATGAAAACAGACCTGTTCATTGATATTGCTCCTTATAATCCGGTGCACCTTATAGTCTGAAAAATACGGTAAATTGAGAAATATTGAGGTGTTTCAGATCACATGACCATTCCTATGACTTCCACTTCACAGCAAACGACTACCTTAGCCCACTCTGGAAATACAGTCACTAACAGGAAATCTAGTTAATAGTTAATTTTCATCACTTTTTTGTTGCATTCAGGCGCTACTTTGGAGAGAAGATTGGTCTTTATTTTGCGTGGTTGGGCTGGTACACTGGAATGTTAATTCCTGCAGCTCTGGTGGGTGTTTTCGTCTTCCTGTATGGACTCTTCACCATGGACTCAAGCCAAGTCAGGTCAGTTCACACAACCAGCATACAGTACCAAGTCAGATAACACAGATCCTCTCTTCTAATAATCTCAATGTAGACCACTGACTCAGAAATGCATATTCAGAAATGTTGCTTTCATCTTCTGACACAATGTCTCATCAGCAAAGAGATTTGTGAAGCCAACACCACCATTATGTGTCCGATGTGTGAGGAAACCTGTGAACCATGGACGCTGAGTGATAGTTGTGTTTATGCAAAGGTGAGTATAATTTTAATCACTGTCAATGAATCAGATCACACCATGGTTGAGTTTCTCGACTCTTTATTTTGTTGCAAAGATGCAGAAACTGACATGACACATTCAACTCGCTCTGGTCACAGAATTATTGACATCTATATTATGTGTTATTCAAATTTCATTTATTTTACTCTTCAGACTTTTTTAGTTTGTTTACTGTTTGTTGTCCTGACTGCCGATTAATTCTAGTTTTTAATAGTTAGCAGATGTAAAAAAGTTCAGTCAGCTGCAGAGCCAATGAACAGGCCTTCACCTCAGAACTACAGAACTGGGAATGTTGCCTCCTTACAGTTCAGGCACTTAGAAATGGTAATGAAGTTACTTTAATAAGTTGTAAACACACATCGAAATCCTTTAAAAACTGTTAAAGAGCATTAGATAGAAAATAATGCTGATTTGTTTCTTACCAAATTGTGAGCTACCATTTATCTACTATCCAATCACTGTTTTCCTTGATTCTTACCAATTTAGGCTTTAAAATATGAAACTTTTATCAGTAAATTAGTTTCAAGAATGTTGTGTGAAAATTTGTAAATACATAGAATCTAAAAATCTACATCATAGCAAAAAATGACATTTACCTGAATGATTAAAATTATAACACCTGCTTCAATATATTGTGCTGCAGAAAGCTTAAAATTAAAAAAGAGTCAAATCAACATATGTTCTAATTTTGCTAATATATTCAGTTAAGCACAAAACAGTCTGGTTTAGTATTAGTGTGTTGTAACTATTTTATACGTGCAAATTAATGTTCTATTAAGTGTTTACATATGACTGTATAAGCTATTTATAAAGCGTTAATAAACCATTTTGTGAGGTGGTACCCTTAAAACCAAAGAAGATCAAATTTGATGCACAGCTTCTTTACATGAACGAGGACTGTGTGAGGCATCTTTAACTTTCTGTGTGTGCACATAGATAATAAACTTTCCTGAAACTCACCACTGTGCTGGTAAAGGAGGCACAGAAGCAGCACTTTTTAAACTTTGAAAAAGAACTTACCCATAAAACCCTGTTTGTGACTTTCTACCAGCGCTGTGTTGAAAGTGCCTTGAGGTAACGCACCGTGCTGCTCAGCTGCATGAGAACTGCGCTTCAGAGAGTCTTTCCTGCAGCTGAAATAAATCACTGATTTCTCTCTTCCTTCTGCTGAGGGCGTTTACAGATCACACTCCCACAATAAAACGTGCAGCATCATGAACGTATCACATCCTGGGCCTCGTGTGATTGAACGCTTACACACAGGAAGACGCTTCAGGTCGATAAAGTCACGGATAAACAGACTAAAACACGACTAATACAGCCCCTTTGAATACTTTTATTGCAGTACAGTCAGTAAACCCAATTCCTCTTTGCCACTCCTAACAGATGTGTAATATTCAGAAAGGTTATGAAACGTTGTAGTTTGGTTTAGCCTTTTTCTAATCTGCGCCAAGAATTGTCACCAAATTCTGTTGTATAGTTTTGAGCATTACAATGAAAATAAAACACAGTTTGGCATTTGCTTAGTGTATATCTTGATCCTTATACTGTTTCTTTTTATACTTTAGATTTTTGCTATTGTTGGGTGTAGCTGGGACTCTGAGAACATAATTTTGTTCCGCCTCATGTACCACGTGTGGTGAGAACGACAATAAAATTGACTTGAACTTGAAAAAAACTATTTCGTTCTATATCATGGCTATTCAACTGGTGGCTCGTGGGCCACTTTCAGCCCGCGCGGAGTGACTTCAGTCCGGCCCACCAATGAAAAAAAAAATTGGAGGGGGGGGGGGGGGGGGTCTGGGTTTGGGTTTTGGATTCTGTTTATTGCATTTATGATTCAATGCTTCAATGCAACAAAATAAACCCATTTTAAAGGTAACAGATCATTGTAATACTTGGTTTATTGACTTTAATCACTGGAGCAGTTTGGTTGAAGAGCCCTGTTCTTTATCACGATGAAGTTTATATGACAGATCTGTTGCTGTGGCGTGAATTCCCTTCTAGTGTCTTCTCTGTGTTTCCACTGCTTCTGGTTTTTAAGCTAAATTAATCCGCTTATGGCTGTGGCTTCATAATTACTTTGCGGCGTTAAATCTACTTATCTAACTCTTGATTATCTGTCAGCCGTATTTATTTCTTTATTTTACCAAACTGCTAGATGAAGTTTGAGGTATCTGAGGTAAAACGTCTCCCAACATGTGAGTTTTTGATCAGACTGATGCTGCTGGAACTATTAAGTCAGGATTGTTTGTCTCCTTTGTGCTGCGAGGTGACACATCTGTTTGACAACGGCGGCACGGTGTTCTTTGCTATCTTCATGGCTATTTGGGGTAAGTTGTGTGAATGCTTCTTGTTTCCATCAGCTTTTACTATTTGCTTGCTGTAAACACGTCTACGATTCAGATCTATTGACACTGCGCTCATACTTCAGTTCACTCAGCCCCTCCAAACACATTTTCTTCAGCTGGGGATTTCAGCTCAGTAATCACTCTGTGGTGAGATCTGCGATCGGCGGCGTGTTTGTCGGAGGATGAATAATGGTCAGCTTTCTTCCTCTGACTGATCGCTTGCTTCTGTACCTTCAGCCTCATCGTGATGTAATTAGCTGAATAATTATCCATCTTCTCAGACAAAGATTATCCTTCTCCTGTCACAGTTGTGGAATTACGCTATAATACCAGTTTATTGCCATCACCTTCCCAGAGCTGTATTATCTCTGTAATGTGATGTGGGAGCATCAGTGTGCAGAATCTCAGCCAAATGTGTTTATCCACCAGTGGGGTGAATATTCACCTGTGCCAGAGGGAACACTTTGCACATTTTGTTCAGTGTTTTGGACTAAAGAAAACTGAGGAAATACCCAGCTCTGAATCCTGCACAAACCCCTGTTGGCTCTGTCAACCAAAGCAGCAGCACTGCGCCAGCGAACAAGGTCGCTTCAGGTCAGCTGTTTGAGTGCATTTTTTAGAAAGACATGAAACATTTGTTAGCCTGTGAGACTGAAAGTAGACATGCTTTTCTGTGCTTTTAAGCAAAACTGCCTCAAGCTGTATTAAACTAACGTTTTCACTGTAACAGCAAAGTTTTCCTGGAAAAGTGTTCAATTTCTGCAGCTTTTTTAAAGCCTTGATTACATTTTAGTTTCATAATTAATGAATGTATAACGTTACATTGCTTTTCTTTTTGATCATTGGAACCTAAAAAAGGAAAGTTAAAAATAACAAGCCAAGTCTGAAATGTAAGAAGTAAATATAATGTAGCTAATAATGTAGTTTATGATTTCAAAAACACAAAGTTTGTTTTCTCAGTCATCCAGGTATATAACA